TGTCCATCCAATGCCCAAGTAAGTGCAAGTCTCAAGTATGAACCCTTGCATCAGTGTTCCATTCCATGATTGCTCAACTAAAAACCCTGAATCCTCAAGTAAACCAATGACTGCTCAAAGCTAATCTATGAATGCTCAAGCACTGCCATGAATGCTCAGGTAAAACTGTCTTGAATGCTCAAGCAAACCTATGTTTGCTCAAGTAAATCTACCAATGCGCAAGTACTGTCATGAATGCTCAAGTTAAGCCATGACTGCTCACGAGTGCTCTAATGAACCCATGAAGGAAGTATAATGTCACTCAATCTTCCATTCAACTAGCAACCCATTGCAAACTATTCAAGTAAAACAATGACTCAAATGAATAACTACCCATTGTCTCAAACTTATTGATGCAGTTACGCTGCAGCACATGTTTTCTCCTGACATTGACCTCCCGTAGGTTCAGAAGCTCTGCTGGGATTTGCGCCCTCTCCAGAAGATCAGGACATGTCTGATCTTTCTTTAAAGAGCCCTGAACACCTTCACCTTTAAGCTCGCACTGGCTTTCAAAGATCGCAACTGGGGCATCAACACCCTGATGGTGAAGTCCAGCTTGTCCATGGAACCTTGATTGGACACAGGCGGCGCTGCATTGAGTTCAAGATCTCTGGGCAAACGCATCGTCTTCAAAGCCTTCACCAAGCGGCCAGACTGGATCTTTGCGTTTGGCCACAGGTTCTTCTTGCCCTTGCGGTTCACGAAAGAAGTGAACACTGCCACCAGGCTTGTCACTGTGATCAGCGGGTCAGCAACAAGGCGCGCCCTTGAAGCTTGTTTGGCTGATCTCTCTTCAGCTGCACTCTGCATCCTATCATCTAGCAATGCTTGCAAAGCAGCCATCCCAGAGGCAAAAGCAAAAGATCTCAGGTTCTTCAAGCCAAAAGTTTCTGCTGCAACTCACTTTGGACAAGCAAAACACTGATGAGGCACACCCAAGAAAATCCTCTAGTAAGTTGTCCACGCTCAAGTAAACCCTCAAGCAAACGCACCCCACTCACAAGTAAATCCTCAAATGGCCCACGCCCACAAGCAAATCCTCAAGTAAATGCCGCACACTCACAAGCAAATCCTCAAGTCAACCCTGACACTCACAGGTAAACACCCAACAGTCACAAGTAAATCTTCAAGTAAATGCTCCACACATGCTCTGACGCCCTCAAGTAAATCCACAAGTAACTGCTCTACAGTCAAAAACGTGACGGGAAATGCCTTGCAAATCTCCAAACGCACTGACTGGAGGTATTGCGAAAACCAAGAAAAGATATGACATTATCATTTATCCATTTTCGCATCATTTTCCAAGTCCTCAAAAATTGAGGTTACAACCTAAATTAGTATAGGTTATAACATTCTAATTTAGTTTAGGTCATACCACAAAATGCACGTAAATTCAAGTACGTAAACGTTCACCTAATTTTTCTTAGTAAATTCAAAAAATGCGCAGATTTTTCGATTAGTAAAATTTTTAATTTCGAAGACTCAGGGTCGACAGGATCGCCTGCATTTGCTCTGGGGAGGACATTACGACTCGAGTGGAGCTTTTGCGTCGCATTCAGCTTGATTCTGAGTGACTGTCATGGCTGATCCACGCCGCCACCTTCAGGGTAATTTGGGGTGCGAGGAGGACACGGCTGGAGGACTTACGACACAGGAGGGAGTTCGATGCAGTCTTCAGGAGGCCTTAGAAGACGGCGATGATCCGGCCGAAGATACGGAAACCATCGTCTGCCCACATACACTCGGAACAGTGCAGGGTGTAGCTGCAGGTCGATCCAACCGACACAGAGTGTAGCGTTTGTATGTTGATTGCCCGACATTCCGGACAGGAAAACTGGCAGATTGTAAGAGGGAAGGTCTTGTCTGCTGCGCTGCCCCCATATATCAGACCAAGTCGACGCGATCGTCTGTGACGCGAATTTGTTCACCAATCGACAGTTCACGTCGGATCGACATTCCGATCCGCATACTGGCTCTGTTCTAACACTCCTTGACCAGATTTTGGCGTCAGCCAACAAGCGGTGTGAAGCGCACCAGCATATCGACGGTCGGCCACCGAACAACTTGCCGCGTTGGAAGGACAGCCAGCTGACTGCGATTGTTTGAAGCAGATCGTCCTTAGCTACGGTAAGGACACGCACACATTGGTGAGCAGAACTTCCGACATTACGGAAGATATGGACAGGACCTCCTATGAAGAGCCACCATGCCAGAAGGAGACATTGGTCAAGGTAAATGAATATTTAAAGCGCTTGAATCACCTTGACTTCTGCTTGAAGAGCAGTGACGAAGCCTATCACCATCCCTTTCAATGCAGTTTTCAGCTTGCATGTCGTGACTAATGTCAGAACCCGTAGCCATGCATCAACAACGCAGGAAGAAGAAGGGTTCTGAGCGATAAGAAGCAAGACTGGGCCCAGGAACAGGACGATGCCAGCTGGCGGCAGTCCTCTGCATCATCATCATGGGGCTCAGGACGGCGGGGCTCTCGTCAGTACAGCGGTTTTCCGACCAAGAGATCTTGTACGCCGACATTACGGCATACTCAGCATAAAGCGTTGCAACTGGAAGCCATAGAAAGAATTTAGAACTTTAGACACTCAATGCCAGATCTTTACAAGATTTAATTCAAAATACAGCCATGGTTTCTGATATTCCGGTTATCTTTCAGCATTTTCGAGACGTGTATATAGATTAGACAGAACTCTGAACTTAGCGTCATTTAGCCAGAATGGCATCTACGGTCAAGTTCTGCGACGCCAGGACTTTTGTAATTCATTTGCATTGTACATTTTGCTTTTGCAGCCGTAAGCTTCGACGCGAAGAAATTTTTGTGTGTTTGATAGTTGCGGCGCTTGTCCCCCTAGACGTGTCTACGCTATACGTGTGTAGCACCTGTTGTCCGTAATTGACTGTACATTACTCTTCACGCAGATTTACAGATTAATTCACACTGCTTTTGGCTCAAGATTGAAGCCCGCGTATACTGCACTTCGCGCCATAGAGAAAAGTGAGCTCGCCGCCGCTCGCTCACGACTCCGCTCGGTGTTGTCGGTCAGGTCCAGTGTACTTCACTGCTACTTTCAAAAAACGGCATCACAAGAGAACGCCTCACCGTGGAGATGGGTCGGGAGGCATGGAGGGGGAAGCGCGCGCCGTGCGTGGGATTGGGCGCCAGCGCAGGGGGGGGCGGAGTAGGTGTGGAAAAGGTGATGGGAGGTGGGCGCGGCACCTTCTGCTCGCCAATCTGAGGGGTTGCATCTCGAGATCGAGACGTGAATCGGCGCAGCATGGGATCTCGTCGAGCTCGCAAGGCACGATGAAGACACTGGCATGGCGCGCAGAACAAGTGGAAATCCAAGAGGAAAGGAAGCGGTCGTGAAAGGGAACCCGGTACGTGAGAAATGCATGGCGACAGTGTCGCGATTGCAACAATCCAGAAATGGAGTCCCAACAAGAACGCGATATAACAATATCAAAACTGAGGCATGGCGCGCATTGAACCGAAGGGTGAGGGCGACAAGTGGGGACAATAAGACTCGTGGTTGATGGGGTTGGTGAAGGAAGCTAACTCTGAGGAAGAGGGAAAAGGTGATTACATAGAATAGAAAGGTAAGGTGTACATCCACAGTCAGCCTTCCATATAGGGTGAGTGTGAGAGACTAATCCGGGGATAAGGAGGTCAAACAGCTAGCCATAAGAGGATCGAGCTGAAGGACGCGACCAGGACGAAGTGTACGAGGTAGCCGCAAAAGAAGCGCCAGTCAGGTCCAACAGGATTGGTCAAACGAGCGTAAGAATTAAATAAAGTCTGGCCTTGAAGTTCAGCGACAAGTTGTTCTGGTCCAGGTGTCTGTGAGAAGGCGCGCGAGGCCAAAAGTCGTGAGAAGATTCCGAGACACCCCATGGTGGTCTCAGCCGCGAAGGAGTCCAAGGAGTACAAGTGCCCGGCTGAAGATGCCTCGTTCTCGACCTTCAATGAAGAACTCCAGAATAATGTCATTTACCACACACCAGCAGGTCGGAATACGCTGTCATGAGCTGGCACGTCTGACTCCTACATCAAGGCTCTGGAGAAAATGTGGTTCCGCCATTTCGGACCACGAAAGGTGACCCATGGTTAGGGGGAAGCATGGACAGTTGGACAAGCGCCCTGTGCATGGATCCCCGGCTCAATGATTGTACTGGGATCACAAACACCCTCTGCTGTGTGGTGCCTCAACTGTTGCTGGCTCCACACCAAGTCAAGGCCCCCAGCCCGAGATCACTCGACGTGAAATGGCTATGTATGCCAAATTATCAGCCCCTCTTCAAGGAGCACGTCATCACGTCATCTTGGAAAGGTACGTGAAATGCTTCCAGAAAGACAACACTGAGCGGCCCATGGCGCCTGCTTCAAAGCTGCTTTCTTGAGCCGACTCGTCCACGAGTGCTCATGGTAGCCCGAGAGCCAAGGCCTGCTTGATTGTCCATGGCTTTATGGACCCTGATGCGCAGGAAGGCATTCAGCGGGATGAAGCTCGATTGCACTCTTCCGCCAGCAGACCCACAAAAAGGACAGCACAGCGATCTTGACGAAGAGCTTATGCAGAACCTCGTTGGGCGTCACGCAAAGGATGACGGAGCTCCGCTACCAATGCGGAGATTGGAGCGCCGCTAACGAAGTCCGTGAACAGCACAAAAAGGACGGCGTCTCGGAGAGACACCGTGGCCGCGCGTTTTGTCAGAAGGCGATCCCTCCCGCTCTTGAGAGGTACGGTCCAAACACATGGAAAACGCATGAACTTCACAGAAGCAAAAACGACAGTCAAAAGACACATCAAGAGACAAGTTCCGAGATAGTTAAGATGATGTCTCGCATGCCCTCAAAATGACCTCGTGATGCAACATCTGGAAACAAAAGGTTTGACAATACCTTTCAAAACTGAATGGGCGATTGCTCTGCCAACAGGGGCGTCTGCCTGTCCCGAGAGGACTATCCACCACCAGCGCATGAATCAGCCTACAAGCGTGCGTGCAGTCACTCAGCAATCGTTCGTGGGAATGTCAGTTAGTAGCGATGCCAGAAGCCCCTAGTAGCGTCCTTGCTCCTAGCGGTAAGGCCAGGAGCCCCTAGTAGCGTCCTTGCTCCTAGTAGCGATGCCAGGAGCCCCTAGTAGCGTCCTTGCTCCTAGTAGCGATGCCAGGAGCCCCTAGTAGCGTCCTTGCTCCTAGTAGTAGATAGGGTCTAGCCTTCCCTCAACGGCCGCCTCTTGCAGGCGGCCTTCACATAGCAAAGCCTGTCTTTTGTCCATCTAGGGTGAATTGAGTTTGTGTGCACTTGCCACCAAACACCAGCAACTTGGAATTCGCAGAAAAATGCTCGTGTATACTTATTAGTAATATATATATATATAAATATGGGAATGAAATGCTATGGAAGTTGCAAGTGATTACTCTGGGCTGTTCTGTCCAGGCGGCCCCAAGAGAAGGCTGGGGGTGTGCAGGAGTGTATCTGAAACTAAAGTAGGTGCATCCGCGATGTTCTATGTCGGCAGGATTGACTTGTTGTTGAATGGGGCCGCCTCATCCCTTGAGGCTTTCTTGGTCCAAACGGCCAAGACATATTGTCAGAAACAAACTGTTGTTGGGTGACTTTTAAAAAATGGCAGCATCTGTCGCGAGTGTCCAATTTGCACATGCAGCTAAGCTCCATAGAATTTGCGCCAACAGCTTGAAATGCCACGTGTATGAAAGTGCTACTGCAGGCAAAAAAAATGCAGTTCAAGCGCGCAGCCTTCATTTGCAATTCACTTGCTCTTTGCATGTCCAGAAGCGACCACTTCCATTTCAGATCCTGACGATTTCCAGGCTTCCAATAGCCAAGCGGCGTTCAGATTCATGCGTGAGCAGTGCTCTCTGAGATCTCTGGGCCGAGCACGCCACTGCTCCAGCAGCGGATCAGGGCCTGAAGAGAAAACTCAAGTCCTGCACATCAAAACTATTGCAAGTGTCCCTTTATATATGACGTCACTCGAGATCCTTGTTCTTGGCCACACGGCTCAGAAGTTTGAAGAAAAGTGACTTGATCCACAATTAATCAAAGCATGAGTTATCGGCTGCAAAAATTGTTTGAACTCCCGGTAAAGTGGGTGGATCCTGCAGTCCCACGTCACATTCGGTCATTCAGCTGTAAAGGTTCATTGATAATTTTGGCGTTAGACTTGTAGGCAGAAGATGTGAATTTTAGTAGCGTCCTTGTTACTACTAGTAAGGCACTTGTTACTAGTAGCGAGGCACTTGTTCCTAGTAGCGAACCTTGCCGGTGGTGGATCGAAAAAACATGAAAAACTGAACAGCAGAATCACAAGGTGATGCTCCAAGGGTTCAGTGTGGCAAGTAGGTAGGTATCGCACACAGTTATGGGGCGGCTCTAGGCTTTGCCCAAGCTTCCGAGATATGACAAATCTCTGCAAAAACTAATTGAAGGCTGTTCAGTTGTTTTCACATGGTCTTGTGAGGTTCCAGTACCATGACTGCTTGCATAAGCACGGTGGTTCTGTCATGGTGGTACGCTAAGTTGATACCTCAGCTTATTGAGATGTTGCCGCTGAACGTACTGTTCAATCTGCAGTTGCAAGCGGTATCTCAGACTCCGTCCGTCTTTGGGCAAGCTGGGACTACCTAAGCAGGGTCAAGCACTCAACGATAAGGAGCGGTTCGATGAAACACTTAGTTTCCGAAATCTAGGAACCAAATCATTAGCGCGAGCGCTTCTTCAAGGAAGTCCCCCTGCGCCGGCGGGGGGAGCTTCCTTGAGGAAATGTGAGTGACCTATCCTGTGTCCATGGTAGCGTCCTAGTAGCTATAGGAGCTTACTGAGGGCAGGCAACGGTGCCACGCGCTTAATTTTACGTGTCTATATATATATGTATATATATATATATAATAGTGGCTCAAGCCATTAGCCTCAAGCTTGTTGGCTATCAGCCAACGAGCGTCCTCATCGGCGCGATCACCACCTCACTGACGGTGACACAGGCCAGATCGGGATCGGTGCGGAGATCATGACTTCAGGGGCGGGATACTGCGGCGCTTATCAAGTATGTGGCAACGACAGGCGCTATAACTGGATTTGGTGTGACAAAGTTCGAGAAGGCTATGTCTGCCACCGGTGCGGTGACAAATGGGCGAGACCGACACAAGGTTTCTCAAAGGCACCTGCTTCGAGGTCACCCAAAAGGGCAAGCAAGCACCAGATGCCTGTTACGCCACCGCCAGGCTTGTGGCATCACTCAGGCCAGAGAACATCCAAGCTGCAGAAGCAGACCGGAGACCTCCTGCTCTCCTACAAGCAAGATCCAACCTTGCAGCAGAAGGTCTCCGAGCTAGGCATTGCTCCGGCCACATCTAGCCCAGAGCCAGATCTCAAGGATGTTCTCAGAGACAACCTGGCTCAGCTTCCAGCCCCCGTCAAAGAGCTGGTTGAACGGATCACCAAGCCGCAGCCACCCACTAAAAAGGACGTGGCCATCAAGCTCAAGCAGCAGGTATCCACCTTGCGGGGCCTATCTCATCGCAAACAGATTTTGCAGAGCAAGATTGATGCCACGAAGAAGGCTTTCCAGGATCTCTTAGAAGAGATGAAAAGCATTCAGACCAAGATTGAACAAGAGCAGGCCGAGCTCAATAGCACGAGCTCCGCATACATGACCCTGGTCAGCAAACAACTTGATCCTGTACAGTTGTCTGAAGATGCTGACATGAAGGACCCGGTACCAGAAGCTGTAGCCGGGTTCATCTCCACCCTGGGTGTCAGCTTGACTCAGGAGCAGCATGACCAGCTCAAAACTATGCTCAAGCGGCCGCCATCCTCCACCGACGAAGAAACCAAACGACGAAAGACGGGAGACGATGACAAGGACAAGTCTTGTGGGCAACGGGGCCCAGATGGCTTCCGTGCCTTCTACTCCCTCGTTGAACGCTTTAGGGGTTTTCCCACGCAGGGACATGGACATGGGGGTCACTCAGTCAAGTTGCAGGATTTCAGCCAACTTCACTGATTTTGACACTTTTGCAAATTCAGGCTCAAATTCGGCAGACGGGTTCCACTTCGGGGTTTATGGACCTGTTCGAGGATTGCAGCCGCCCAAATTGAAAGGAGGGGGCGCCTCCTCTCACGAAGTTGAGCCAAGGCCGGATCTTGGAAGGGCACCGCGTTCTTCTACCTCAGTGCAAGCTCTTCAGAGCCTTGCATCCTGCGGGACCCTTCCTCCGGAGACCTTGGCTAAATTTTGGCAAACCATCATGGAGGTGGATGATTCAGATGCAATTGACAGAAGGCCAACTTGGGCTTTTTCAAGTATGTCAACACGATCATCTTGCGCAACGTATGAGGACAGGCCAACACTGCAAGCGGGGCAACAGCTTCTGGTGGACCTGCAACGCACGCAGCCTTTGCTTCTCAAGCAGATGGCTCTACCTGGCGACATGGAACCGGGTGTGGGCAATCTCTATACTATACGTCATCTCTCAGGGGCTCACCAGCATTTTGAGCAATCCGCACAATCTTTGCTACGGGAATGCACCTTTTAGATGCTGGTGCTGGGCAGGGGCGCTGAAGATCTCTCGGTGGGACAGTTCCTAGCCAGCAAGGAACCTCAAACCCTCACTGGATTGGAAGGAATGGATCATTTTTGGAAACACTTCGAACCAGGCTGTCAAGATGACGTAGGACACTTCATGGGACGGCTCTGGGCCTTTTCCGGGTCGTCCTTCTTCGGGGGCCGCTTCTTTCATGTTCATGAAACGGGCAGGCTCGAAGAAAGGGAGCAGGTTTCACTCAACCTGTTGTTCCCACAGGAGCAGACACACCCCACCTTGGAGGATTTGGTCACCTTTTGGTCCAATGAAGGTTATATGGCACACCAGGAGCCGTGGTTCTACACCTGCAAAGATTCCAACAAGAAGGAACAGGCTGGACGAAACATGAACAACCAGTCGACATCCCGGTCCGAGTTCGCATTCCTTTCTCGGAGCATCGCATCCACGTTCACATGGCTTCCTATAAGGTCATCAGCCTCATCCTTCACAAGGTTCACGGACCTGAAGCTGGACACTATGTGGCCATACACTGTTTGGACAATGCGTACTGGTATGCGGATGACGATCAGAACCCGGTACTCCTGCCGCACTTGACGGAGGAACACCTTCGACAGATCGTCCAGGTTTGGCTGGTTCTTGAGGAAGCTGATGAACTGGTTCCGGACACTCTTGAAGCCTGGCAACCTGTCTTGAAGAAATCCAGGGGTCACTATGAGACCTTGAATCTTCTCCTTGGCAACGTTACACAATTCGGTCACAAGTTCAAGACTGGATCTGGACCAAGCCAAATCATCTTTTGTTCCTGCAGGAAACCCACATGGGTACCAAGACCATGGAGACCGCCCTCCAGTACTTCAACACTCGAGGCTGGCGCGCCTATGGGGTGGCTACCTGCCCCACGGGCAATGGTGGCACTACAGGAGGCTTCATCACCCTGCATGGACAAAAGCATTTGACGCATCACGTCCAGACCAACACACAGGAAGGCAATGGGTGGACAGCCATTGGGCTCCAGCGAGCGGACACGCTCATCCTCCTCATCCAGGTTTACGTCAGGCAGGGGAAACTCTTCAGTCTCCACAAAATGCTGACATCCTCTCCAAGCTTTTGAACCTCTGGATCACGCTCACGCTCCCTTCATCATTGGGGGCGATTGGCAGAACTCACCGGATGCCCTGGCAGCCACTGTCATTATGAGCAAGTTTCAATGTCAGATTGTCGACACTGGCGCTCCCACGACTCTTCAAGGGTCTCAACTGGACTACCTGCTGGTCTCCAATGTGCTGGTCAGCTCTATACAGCTGCAACCGGAATGGGAAGCGCCGTGGAAGCCTCATTGCGGCTTGGCTGTTACTCTTTCCTGTGACACGCCTGACGTCGAGGTCCAGCAACTCCAACGATTTCCACCTATTGGCAAAGTGCATACGTTGCCACAGTGTTGGAGTACCTTTCATGAAGCTGACGGGCCCTTTTCCATTGCTGGCATTCAGATCACTGGGTTAGGCTCTGATCTGGCTCGATGGGCCAGTCAAACTGAGCAGTACCTCACGCAGCAACTGCACAAGCCCACAACGGGGAGAGGTCACCACATCCAGCTGAGGAAAGCTCCACTGGTCGACCAAATCAGGCAGCAGGTATGGAAGAAAGGGCAGCTGGCCTATTGGGAAAGGATGGCTGTTCGGGTCAACATCCCTCACCTTGCACGCCAATGCCACTGAAGACATGGAGCAGGATCTCTTCGCCACACTTCTCCGCACGTGGATCAAGGAACCTCACAATGATCCCACGGAACTGAAAGGCTACATCCACAACCAAGAACTTCAAGCACACCAAGCCCTCCTCAGCTCTGGCAGTGTGGAGTTCAAGGCCTGCCTGGAAAAGGCTCACACTCAATCAAGGCCTACGAGGCCTCTTCAGGAACCTGAGGCAGCGGGACATTCCACGGCAACGACCTTTCCAGGATCTTCCAGCTCTTGAACGCCTTCGTGCCCGAGAAGACCACTGGGGAGAAATCTGGTGGATCTCTGAAGGACCATGCCACATCAGAGGATATCAAGCTCTCAAAGCCGCAGCAGTACATCATGCCATTGGTATGCCGCCCATCGACTCCAGTGTGCTCCAAAAGGTCCTGCGCAAATTGCCAAACAAGGCAGCTGGTCCTGATGGCATTTCCTACGACTTTCTTCGGCGTTTGCCCTATCCAGCAGTCAACAAATTGGCACAACTTCTCACTGAAATGGAATCCACGGCCACTCTGCCAACTCAGCTGACGCTCACCAACATTGTCATGATCCCGAAGAACAACAAGGTGGAACGGCCATCGTGTCTGTACCGGTTGTGGAACCGATACCGTAAGCAGGATCTTCACAAGTGGCAACTTACCTTGGATGAAGAACTTCCTTGGGACAAAGCACGGCCACAACAGGACTGCCTGTCCATCGCAATTGGTCGTATGCTCAAAGCTGAAATCTCCACATCAAGGCCTTCACACAGTCTCATGTTTGGCAGATCTCTTATGTTTCTACGACACGGTCAATCTCGACCACATCATTGAGCCAGCACGAGTCCTGCAATACCCGGTTCTGCATCCCAAATTTGCTCTTGACCTCTACACTGGTCCAGGGCCTGCAGCACTTCCGCTGCACACTCAAGGGCTTCTTGGTTCTCGCAGTCCAGGCCATTGTCCTGCATGGTGATGTAGGCCTCGAAGACCGGGTCCTCTTCGTCAAACTCGAAGGTCTCCTCCGGGTCATAGGCCTCTTCGCCATAGTACACCGGGTTGAGGTCTTCTTCAAATCCTCCAAGAGATTGGGAGGCGACGTCATAGCCAATCCAATCATCTGCAGAGCCTCCATCGACATGGTAGCCCTGCCAAGGCTTGTGCCGTTGAGGGAAGCGTCCACCTTTTCCTCGTGCTCGGTGATCTTGGAATCCATGGTGTCCTCGATGGAGTTCGTGCTCGTGGATGGATCCATGCTGGGCGATGAGCTCGTCCATCACTCTGGCGACCGTGACATCGCCTTGCAAAGCTGTCCTGATCATCAGCTGATGATCTTGGCTGATCCGGGCGCTAGCCAAGATCTGCTCCGCCAGGATGGGGTCAGGCAGCTGCAGCTTGTCATCGAGGTCGATGAGCATGGAGTACCAGGTCCTCCTGCGAAGGAGGAAGCTCGTCATCGTCTCGCCTGCTTGGCGAGCCAGCATCCCAGTGGTCTGGGCTCCTGCATTGTACAGCTCTCTTGCATCTTGTTGTCGTCGAGGTCGGAAGGCCTTGTAGAGGGTGTCCACCAGCAGCTTATGGCCATCTGGCTTGGCCAATTTGGAAGGATCAAGCTCCCTTGCCACCTGAAGAGCTTGACCACGTAGTCCATCAATCAGCAACAGGCCAAGAGGGCCTTTCTTCTTGGCTTCAGCCTCGTCGAGGTGCTGGAACCGGGTGTGAAGCAGCTTCACCCGGAAGCTGTACTCAGCCAATTTGGATGGCTCTCCATCGTAACGTCGTATCTAGGCACCATGCCTTTTCCTTCCGTGGACATGAGGTCTTGGTCATCTTGATCATGTCCAGGGCGCCAACGAAGGGCCTCCAGCGCAGCCATCACGCCGGAGCGAAGGGACGAGGGTGGTCACCGCGGAAAGGAGCGTCCCTCGGCTCCAGCGGCCCTATCGGAGAACAAAGCTCCGCTGCCAATGTGAAAGCAGCCGAAAGCGACGTGTCGAACGTCGCACAGTGCGAGTCGCGCCTTTTGCGAGCGCTTGAGCCAATGAGCAAAGTCGTTGCTCAGTTCATGAACCCTCATGGATCTGGACACCAACTGGTTGCGATCGTGATTCAACACTCAATTTCTCAATATATATAATAGTAGTAATACAGGCCTTTAGAAAATTGCTTGCCAGCTGAGAGGTGCACTGTCAGATCTTTGGCGTGTCTGTCTCGTATCGAAACAGCAACGCTTTGCTTTTCTGCCTGCACAGTTCACAGCGGATGGCTTATCAGTGTGTTTTGTTTGATTGTTTCTATTCAAGTCAAAACTCGACTGCCTGAGCCACATGGGCAAGGCCTCATTGTGCAATTGGCTGACCAATGCGTTTCACCGTGTTTCATTGAGCATTGACAGATCCGAGCTTTGCTTTGTAATACTTGGGGACAAACTGAGACAAGGGGCATCAGATTACCACCGTCACAGCTCCCTCCCAAGTTTGAAACTGGTTGGCATCGCGGCTCCGAATCACCGGCTGATCCTCAGACGAAAAAAGCAACTTGATTGCATGCAGGCGTCATGTGGCTGGCATGACTGGCTTCTGTGTGGCCTCAGCTAGTTCAGCACCAGGTAGGTCTATGAGGCCTGACAAGGCCGAGACAACAAATGACAACGAACTGCGTCATCAGTGTCAGGCTGTCCTCCATCTTGCTCGCGACCTGCATTCACGTTCAGTGATCCCACACTACCACTAGCAGCTAGCAAGGCTAAGGAGGGCAAATGCAAAGGCTGCACCTGCGAAGGCAGCCAAATGGTGGTCACCACCTCCGACCGCCATGGAAATCAGCGTTGCAAAGTTTGCTGCAGTTTTCAAGCTCCGAGTGCTGAGGTGTCTTCGCTGTTCTGCATCCAGCTGCTCTGCACGAAGGTCGCCCAGCAAATGCTTCTGCCTCGGACAGCGTAAAAAGTTGTAAGCGTAGCATGGAGCAGACTCGCGGGCTGGATAACTTGGACTGCTGCCCTTTGTTGAAAATTGAGTAGGCCTGAAAGTACTCAGCTCTAAATGCGCTCGATTCGACCATGAAAGTATGCTTGGCTTAGAAACTTGCCGAGTACTCGCCACGGCCTTCACCAAGACCAGGCCTTCAGAACGGAGAACTTTGAAGCGATTCCAATATGTTCTGCCTCTTCCACTGCAAGCAACTTGGGGAAGAGCCCAAAAATAAAGGCAATCATGGACAGAATAAGATAGACCTCAACAGTCGTTGAAATGACACAAGTCAGAGTTCTGGTGATTGGGCACCTTGTCAAAGCCTGTAAGGAAGAAAGTAAGAAGCCAAACCGCCTCAGCACAAAGGAAAAAGAATTGAACACACACACACACACAAAAAGAATATACGAGACAACGGGCCATTCTTTTTGGTCTCCACTCACCTAGGAATTTGTGTTCGAGGTGAGCACAACGACGCTCCAAACCCAGCCAGGCTGCCCAGCCTCATACGTCAGCCAGAGTTGAGAACAAAACAGTTTTCAATTGCAAAGATATGCTTCCAAGCAGAGACAGTACATACACACACACACTCACTGTGAACAAAATCAACATCTGCCAGTAAAGACCAGGCCAATGTCGCGGCAAGCGCCATCTTTCGAGGTCAAGACATTTTGATGTTTGAGGCTTGAAGCAAAGCTTGGATAAGCTTATCATGTGCTGCATACACAGTCTTAAGGTGACAGTGTGCTTCAAGCAAAGCTCAAGGTGACTTGTTCTCCTTTGCTGCCCCTGCGATTCTGCGATTACAAAAATGAAGCCCAGCAAAGTCTTTAGTTGCCCCGAATCCCAGTGATGACCATGCGAATGTTCAGTAATATGTAATAATTGTGCTGTTGATGTTGTCCAGTCGGGTAGAAAACTGCTTGTGCTTGAGAGTTGTCGGCAAACTGCAATCAAGTGAAGAGTAAAACCAGCAACCAATGAGTTGGACGGGCTTGGATTAGATATCTGATCTGCTAAACTGTAGTAAACTCTTTGTGCAAGACTGGTGCTCCACCACCAGCTCTCAATACAGGTACTCTTCTTTCTGCCGCTGCAGCTAATTAATCTATCCTGCTGTCCTCGCATCCACATTAGCCGTACAGCTGGCTCACACAGCCCGTTTTGGGTTGCAAGCAAATTGCGACACCTTAGGCATTGTTTGTATTTGTGACATTGTTTGGCATTGTTTTGTCGTGAGGATTGAGGCCTGAGATCTGCACCAGCACCGCTTAGGCAGGCGAGCCTAGCCCGAACATCCCTGGCCTCACAAAGCATTGATTTTTGTTGGTTCTGCCAAGCTACAAAGGCCATCTCAGGGCCAGAGCCATCAGGGCTCTCAGGACCCTCAGGACCCTCAGGACCCAGCACAATGTTTGGGCGGCCACCAGTCGGGATGGCTGGGCCTGTGAGTCGGTCAACCCCATCACTTCATCACCAGAACGTTTGAATCTCCTGAAGTAACCAACAAATATTGGCATGAGCTCCTTCAACTCTCATCATCTGGGCTCTTTCTTTTGAGCTGTGAACTTACTTAGCAAGTTCGAACACTGCTTCAAAACTATAGCTAAGCACCAAACCAGGGAGCAAAGACCCGAGGGTCGGCATTTGCAACTGGCACAAAGCAAAACTGCTCGAAGTCTCAAGCGGCATGCATCTTTGCTGGCCTGTGGCATTTGCAGCCCTTGGAAATTGAAGGGCATTGGATCCCGAGCCTGGAGTCTGCAAGGCTGCAAGGAACAATGATGTTTCACAAACGGTAGTCTGAGTGCCACACTGCAAAGTTTGGTCCGCCCGCATTGGATCCCAAGGGGCCCAAGGGGGATGGAGATCCCAGTTGCGGCCCCGGGCCCAGAGAGAAGCCCAAAGGACTGGGCGACCCAAGAGGTTGTGGCCCTGGAGGCCCAGGAGGCGCCTCAGTGAGGCATTGTACAAGCTTCTTGTTACTAGAGCGATGCCAGGAGCCCCTAGTAGCGAACATTGCTCCTAGTAGGGCCCCTGGTAGCATCCTTGCTCCTAGTAGCTATTCAAAAGCATGTTTAAAAGCATACTTTGTTTAAACCGCTCGAGAATGCAGCGCACCTTTTTAGCTGGGCGGACTGAGGCCTGGAAACAACGAAACCTCCACGTCTACGTGTCTCGGGCCTGCAAGCTTGAGCTTCTTGGGCGCACAGGTGGCCTCAGGCTAGTGACAAAAGAACTTCAATATGACAATTCGTGACACTTGTACAACATGGACTTCGTATTCTCTCGCTGACCTCGCAAGTTTAAGCCTTTCACATTGTAGTGCAGCCTCAGCTTTAGCGCGGATTGAATCTTGTGATCAACCCGGCCTTACCCAGTTCAGCAGAAGAACCGCATGGCCCCATCACGGATTGTGAGCAAAGACCTTGGAAGCTGCATGTAGAGAGTTAGACCAGACTGTGTGACAAATGCAATGCTCAGCCCCACTGTCAAGGGCAAGGCCAGGTTGTCCAAGCGGAGGGCCTATTGCTGGCATGCTAAGTGTCACAGGCCTCATTGGCAAAGTAGTAAGGCTGGCCAGGGAAATGGAGCTATGAGGTCCGGGCGGTTGCGTCATGGAAATGGAGGAAATAGGCGGTACGTACGACCCACTCCGTGGAGGCACATAAGACCCATTTGGGAAAGGTCCCGCTGGCCTGCCATTGAGCGGCGGACAAAACTGGCAAAAACCGGTCAAGTTGGATGATCAGTCTGAATGAAGGCCAGCAGTGCACCAACTGAACCGAACTCGATGTGGTCACAGGTGGTGCCTTCACAAGAATCCGACAACTACCCTCGAGGGCATCAAAAATCTATCCATCTCTGCATACAGTATGTTATATATTGTTACAGAAACAGGAATGCCTGCCTGTCTTCCAAAACATGCTGAATATGTGAACAATGACTCCCCTCAAAAGTGTTCAAGTTATATAAGCACTTCAGCAAGTTCAGGTTATGAGAACCTCACTGTTCTTATGGCAAGCTCAAGACCCTAGAGTCTAGGTTGAAAGCAGCTTAGCAAGGCGCTTCTGCAGGCTGGGCGGCAGCTGCCTTACAATGCACGAGGAGGCAGTTTCAATTTTAGGTGATTCCACACAGCAGGATTTCAGACATACACACCACAAAAACATCAAAACAGTGCCAATGTAAAATGTTTCACCAGCAGAAATGCCTCTGAGTTATATATGTAAATGTAAAGGGACCATGTAGTGTAGTGTCATTACAAGCAATGTGTCACACCTTGATTAATAGCTTGGGATCTCCGGGGGCTGCCCCCATCTCTTCCGTTATTTCTGTGTTCCTCCTGCTTGCTTTTAACAAGGATACACATGGTCCTTGCAATGTCTGCATGGAACGTTGCATGCAATTGTCATTGTTTGCATGCTTTCTTTAACAGGAAGTGTCAAAACATGCCACAAACTTTTTCAAGTGGGCGGCCCATAAAGCAGAAGGTCTTACACCTCACCTAACCCTGTGAAACTACAGAAAACACAACAAGCTTTAGAAATTCTGAGGCTTGCTAATTTCATTGACGCATTCGATCAAAATATATCAAACAACCTACGGATAAGGAAAAGGGATGTGAAAGGAAAAAGCACTGACACCCTGCTCCTGCGTATAAGTAAGGTGCGGCTTGAAAGCAGATCCTCCATGCAAGTGTTTGCCTCGGCTGACCTTCCCTCATTATCCCAACACCTCACTCTGGTAGATCTATTTAAAAACGCGCCATGGCGCTCAGTGGTCAGGAATGAAAGTACCACCGCACCAGTTTTACTTTACAAAGCAATGCAACAAAATGCATAAATGCACCAGGTCACCGGCGTCAAATACGTAAAGCTTATGTAATTAATTTCAAGAACCTATATATACTGATATATACTGTATGTATACGGCTGTGGTTCAAAACTGGAAACCCGTTTCACGGTAGGTTGACCTCCTTGATAGTCCTTTGCCTTTGTGCTCTTTTTCTGCGGTGACGGCTACGGCCAATAGTGCATCATTAGCATCATGAGGAGCTCAGGAGGCAATCTAAAGCATCTTCTACCAGGGCTGGGAGTTCATGTCGAAAGAGCGCGAAAAGTGGTTGGAACTCCTCCAGGAAAGGGAGATGTGCGAAAGGGAGGTGTGTGTCTCTTAAGACACTGTGTGATCTGTGAAGGCAGGAGAGGGAACAGAATGCTGTGGGGAAGGTGGAACACAGACATAGCGGAGGAGGACGTGGTAGGAAACTTGAGGCCGAGGGTAGGTGACGAAAGCTAGCAGGGATGCATCCGTGTCAGTGGAGGCGAAGCATACAGCGCCGTCCAGTGACAAAGGACTGGTGGGACATCAAGCGGAGTGAGGCAAATCTTTTTTCATAGGCATGGGGCTGTTGGAGGGATGGTTCACAAGGTCTCGCTCATGAGGTAAAACGTTGTGAACATGTAAGACACACGAACAGCAATGACACAGCCAACCTTAGCTTGTGAATCTGTTGAATCTGTTGCATCGTTTCCCAAACCTCCACGGAGGAGTTGAACCGAAGTGGATGCCATAAGAGGTGTCCAAGAGGTGTCCCAGAGGCGTCCCAGGGGGGAGTTGAACCCGCCGCGGGGGGGGGCCCTCTACATATGAAGTTTTCACGTGATGCGGCGATTCCAGCCCCTCACTTGCTAAAGCAAGGACAACTCCAGCTAGCTGGTGCTAGCTTTCGTGAAGAGGGTTTGTAAGAAATCTTGGAGTTGCTTGGGGTGCCGATTTTTAATGCTAAAGACGCCTGTCAACCATACGCAAAAGGGCACCCCATACAGGAGAGAGAACAGAATGCAGCGGGCAAGCTTTGAATTGCTTGGGGGTGCCCTTTTTGAACGGCCTAGTAGCCAGACTCAAAAGGGAACCCCATATTGAGTGGGAGTTCATGTGCAGGATAGGCATAGCGGGGGGATGTGATAGGAAAAGAGGTGGGGAGCTCCCCAGGAATCTCGCGCTCAACCCCCATGACCATATTGATATCTTTTACGGTGGCTGGCTTTCGTCCCCTCCCTTCTCAGGTATGTATATCATATAAATGCCCCTCATCTCACGCAATCGCTATAAGCTTCGGGCGGCCATCAGCATTTGTGCTTGTTGTTGGGCCTGGAGCTCAAAGGACCTTGGTCAAGGAAATTTGCTGAAGAGTGCAATTGTCAAATCATCAGTTTCCGCAGGCCTGTCAGCAGGAAGCTTATATGACATCCCAGGAACCATTGGGGAAGGCATAATGTGTGCCTGTCAAGTGATCCAAGGCCAAAGGGAAACGCCAGTCCTTGCTTCTGCGAGCCTGCTGTGATTGTGCCATCTGAGCAGCACACGGAGTCGTATTTATTGTAACACCTGCAGGGCTCTGCAGCTGAAAGGTGACTGCGCTAAGGGTACATCACAGTATCTCATAGATGTTGTCAATGCCCGTCGAATGCCAGCCTGAACTTACAGCCTCAGGTGGTGTAATTTGAGAACTGGACGAACGGTCACGTCAGACCAAAGACTCCGCGATGGAGGGAGGGCTGAGTAACACAGAGAGAGAGAGAGACAAGAAAAAGAAACACTAGAAGCCAAATGGATAGTGCGACGGCTTTTTCAAGGAAGCTCCTTCCCGCCCTCAGGCAGGAGGAGCTTCCTTGAAGAAGCCTGAAAAAGGGTCTCTCTTTGCCAATATTTTGACATCCCAATCCGAGGATTGAGCTCTTGGGGCACCTCTCACCTCCATACAGCAAATGCAGTTGCAACATGTTGGGTAAACGGGGGGGGGTTAGCCCCGAACGCAACACACCGAGAATGAAAAAACCATGTGCTTTACAGGGTTTCGTGGCTTTGCGGACACTCAACTGATCGTCTTGCAACTCATGAGTTGCAAGACGATAAGTTGAATGCGCCTTGACGGACCCAACCCACCCGCCTGCTCCATGTACAGCTTGCCAAGGCTCATTTTCCAGCCGCCAGACATCAGTCTTGTTCCCAATTGAGCCATTTGAGCGGGCTTCTCAGCTTCTCTATGTATTCTGACAGCCTCGAGCATTGAGTCCAACTCTGGATGTTGGCGGAACCACAACGCTGCGAGGCCTTCAACGTGCTGTCGTTGCAGCTTTGCATCGCAACGGCCAAGAAGACCCATTCTACGCAGTGTTAAAGCAATCCTCGAACGTCGAGCCCGTCATGTCCTCTAAGCCAAGAAAAGCGGTCACCGAGCGAACGAAAGGTCACCGAGTCCACAAATCAACGTCAAAGTCGATGTACGCGAGTAGTAACACGGACGAAACTGACCCCACCCCCCCCACTCCCCCCACCCTGAAAGACCAATCAACGGATTGGATATATGTTGCCGGCGGGGCTAACCCCCCCCGTTGGCCCAACATGTTGTTCAGTCTATTTTTGTTAGGTAAAGAAGAAAGAACAAAACTGTCACAGTTTTGCGAAAGATTCCGGAAGCTACTACCTTGGACACAGAAGGGTTTGGGCTCTTCAAGGAAACTTCTCCCGCCTGAAGGTGGGAGAAGTTTCATTGAAGAGCCTTTCGCATGGCCAAGGCGGTTCCTAGATGTTTAGGAAATGTCCAATGTCAAAAGTTCAAAAAGAAAATAGATGTCAAGCCTCAGCAGTCTGGTCAGAGCCCCACACAGGCCCAGATTGCATTTGCTCCATTTGTCCGGGAGGCCTCACTCAATGCTGCTGGTCAATGTCGCGATTTGAAGCGTCGGAGAAGTTCACATCTTTGAGTTTCTACTTTCCACTAAGTACGCAGTGAAGAAAGGAACGATGGATTTGCTTTGACAGCATCCCAGGCAAAACCCTTGGAGCAAGCCAAGCTGTTTCTTCGCACAAGGTTGTATTGAGGGAGCTACCAATTCAGCATAATTCAGCTACTTACGTTTGGGTAGAGCTGATGTGAGAGTGCGATAGCTTGAATTGGATTCTTTCGGCTCAAATCACCACAATTGTACGTACCCTCTTCAGTGGGTCACAATGGTGTAGCTGTGCCCTTGTGTTGTTGGTGCAAAGCACAGGTCCTGGAAAAGGTGGCTGATGGATCTTACCAATTTGTAAATGGAATGTACTTTCCGGCAGCAACATCCATTTGCAGTTTCAACGGTGATTTCTTTCGCTTAGATTGTGGTCTTGCTGAAAGAATGTCTGTATAGCTAGTTTTTGAGCCAAGCTCAAGAGAACAATCTATATAAATTAGCCCAGCTGGAGACCCCAATAGCAAGATACAAACCGGGACAAAAAGAAAAATCTGGAAACAGCTGCTGTTTTCAACACATCGACCTTCTCTTCCTTGGACACCATCATCACATAACCGGGACACCATCACAAAATGACCAGGGCACCATCAAAACATGACCGAGACACCGTCACAACATG